AGCGCTGATCAATCTAAGTGATCCTTGTAGCCATGTTTTCTGAGGGGAATGAGATATCTCTATCAAATCAACTGCAAAGAAAATAACGTGACCAGGGCTGTCGAAATATCCCACAAGTTTCATAAGAGTTACGGGATTTTATAACAAAATACAAGTTTAAAAATTGGAATACTTCCAAAATGCACTTCTTTGAGTATGGGCTCGGAATTTAGTAATCTTTATCGCTGAAATCACATGGTATTACTGAAACACGTCCATCACACAAAGTAAATCGGGTGAATTTAGGTTAAAGTATGAAATTCACATGAAATGTCTTCGCATTTTCACGTTGTTCTTATGCATCGCCGGGATTAATTTACGATTATTTTCGATATATCACTTCAAGCATTCACATATATAGTTCGATTAGTCAATAGAATAATGCAAGACCTAGGTGGAAAGAATGTATGAATGAATGTCTGTGTGCTTCTGTGAGGGTGTCACAAAGATGGATTTGACCTGAAAGTGTCCAACAGACTGAATGTAAATCTGGTCGATACTGATGTGTATATCGACTGAGCATGATCTATTGATGTCCCAGTGCAGCCGCTTGAGGTGTAGCTTATGAATTCTATTACAGCAACGTGCGATAGCGGTAAGCAATGGCCCAAGCGTTGATCGCGCATGATTTACTGATATCAGTGGAGGAGGACATACATACGGAGGCATACGCGTACTAGCAAGATAAACAACTGATATGTATGCCATGAGAATTGAGGCGTGTGTGACCGAAGCCCGTCTCACAATCGTCTCCTGCATTTCAACGGTAGGTAGAGAAATTGGTGTTGCATGATAGTCATCCAGACATCGCTGGGAGGCTTGTCAGCACCGGAGAGGTTAACGCGACAGCTATAAATAATCCGAGGACAGCTTGATACGATATTGAGACAAATTGACTTGCAAAAGCATAGTACACAGTTTCAGTTTCCAACATCATCACACTCGAATATACGCCTAGGATGGTAAGAATGAAGCGTTTGTTTTCAACGGGGCGCGAATACTACAGTATTTTGAGCTGTGATTTGTTGTACCCCCTGCCCAGCGAATCATCGGCGTGTAGCAGTTATACATTTTTTACAGGCGAAAACATTCGCTGTGACAATTGTGCCCCCAATAAATCCCACCGTGTGTATATTATTGTACACCTAAATTCCGGTGACATCCAGCAGATAACCCTTAATATGGCTATGGTAACGAATGAATCATATTCGATCAAATGACAAAGTGGTCGGAAATTCAACAATGATCCTGCATTCCAGACCCCATCCTGCTGAGCGTGGTAAAGTTTGCTTGAATGGCATTGTGTAGTACTCCTGTCTGTCAAAGCACACGTGAGGCCATATATCGATTTGATGATTTTTGGGAGAAATGCAGTATGATGCCAAACAAACTGTTGTGCTGAGTGTCATCAAAGGGTGAAATTCTGCTTGGTAATGAAATGTAACTGTTTTACAATGCTGCTTCCCAGTTGGCGCATTGGTACAAAATGCCTGCCTAGGCATCGAGAGCTAGTTTCATCCATTGGCAGAATGATTCCTCCCACGAGAGATGTCTATGGGAAGATCACTATATTTGTGTCCCTACCGGAACTAGAGACAGAAAAGTTCTGGTGAGCATCGAAACTCCAACCTATGAACTATCATGCTTCACTCCCATGTTCCGAAAGCAACGACCATCCGAATTTAGTTTACGGTAAATCCGTAATGCTTTCGGTGAATCCCAAACGAAAGCATCTTCGTACTGTCGTATCTTCCACGATAACATTAAAGTGTATGCATGCATTCTTTTATTCACTGGGGAAAGATCACAGAGAAATAAGATGAAAAACGTTCGTCACTATTAGAATCGTTTGTTGAACCTTACCTCCTGATCCTATCTCTGCGGGCGAGAATTTTCACTCGGTAATAAACCATGGCACGTTTATATTGAGGTTTGCTTGAGGTTAAAAATAATAAACTCATTGTGTGGATTCATGAAAGCGACGTTTGGCGATATTAAACGGTCGAGTCAAGTCAAGTCAAGTCACGAGTGCACTTTATTCATTCAATGTAGACAGAATTTTTAGTGAAAAGAATGTTATCGCTTTTGCTTTGGCATTGCACGCTATTAAAAATTAGCTTTCAGATAGTTACTGAGATGATAATGAATGAGAACGTATTGTATAAAGAAAGCACTGTGTCAGCCAGCGGAACAAAAATTCTGATACCAATTTCCCGAAGATACATCGCAGAATCACATTGCAAAATTGCTTAAACACGATTTTGGATGGGTAAATCACGGTGAACGTCATTTTGTATCGATTGAGGAATATTCTAGAAGAGAAATACGTGCGAATTCGAAAAGCATCTTGGGACAAAACAAAGATATAAAGAACGACCGCAGAGTTGATTAGTATCCGAGCCTGCACTGTGCGTACAACAAAAAATAATTCAAGCTCTCAAACTCCCCTGGGCAAGGGACTAAACAAGTTGCTTCATAAAGAGTGTTTTGGGTGTCTTCAATTCACAGAAGAATGAAACTCCGCTTGATGACTGTTAACACATCTGGGAAGAAAATCAGAACGAACTGTCTTGAGGAGGTCGTCAGTGCTGATAACGCATGGATCATTGAGAAGAGCGTGGATACGCGAAGGATCATGTGGAAAGTTAGTGATTTCGAACCGGTTAGAAGCGGTTATGAAATACCCCAAAATGGGTGTAATTGAAGTGATTTCACGATCATGGGTCTTTAGGGGACTTATGCAACCAAATAACATACTGACTTCTGTTAGTCATTTCATTTACAGGAGACTAATTTGCTAACAGCTGTAGCCCACATTCAAGCTGTGAAAACAGACTGTAGACTATCGGCCCGACGCAACAACCGCACGAAGTAACCAAATAGGTATTTAGAGAGGTTCTGTCAATTCCGTGGTTACAGATGTAGCGTTGTGTTGCTAACAGTAGCAGAACAGTAATGTATTCAGAATGAATTGCAATACGGCCAACTGAAATTCTGAGATGATCTAGAGGTGATCTAGAGCAACGCAAATCAAAATGTACTGGTTTGTGTCTCGTTTCCGTACCAAGACATTTTTAACGAGTTCTTGTCAATAATAAATCCGATTCGGTGTTTTAGAAACACGTTTTATAACAGTCAGCTAACTATCAAGAAGGAGCATACGTTTTCATTAAAATCACGCGAAAACCGTAAACAAAGTGGACCACCCATTCATTAATTTGGGTATGCAGCCGTTTCATCAATGCAGGTTAGAAGTCATAATAAGTGGAGAATGAATAAACTTCGTATATTTCGTTGGTTATTTTTATTCCTAATCCTAATTTTACTTTCCCTGAAAATTGATTCAGAATGGAATGATCATTTTATTTGTGTGAGCTGTAAAACTTGCAACGAGCGGCCATTTAACTTTCCACGATGCTAGAGATTCTCACTTCCTCCCCTCCCAACACGCAAAAGGCCTATCGTATGGTTTCTATCCCCGCATATGTGGATGAATCATTGTTTCCTGAGGAACCGACTCGGGTTTCTCCTCGACTGGACTCAGTCGGATTAGTCAAATCGAGAAATGTTGATTCCTAAGGGCACTTCAAACCAAAAAATAAGTGTTTCCCCCAAAGGTTGCCTCCTGTGGCATGAAAATGAGTCACACGCACAGAGGGAGGTATTGAGAAGTGAATTGCAACTAGAGGTTGTCTCCCTTGATTGATCCAATCTCCTTTGCTTTGTTACTATCTGGAAAACAGACACCTCCCGAAGCAAAGGATGAAGCACGACTACGGCGTTGATAAATCAATGATTTCAATTCAAGTCGCGTAACGTTCTATGCACCCAGAGGGTGAATTGTCAGCATTTTTCACATCGCGACACATGTTTGGATGGTCCGATAGATTAGTGTACAGCTTGTATGAACCTGGTTCGTCAACTTCAGGTGAAACCGTTGTAACTTCAGATGAATCTAATCAATGGTACTCTGCTGGGAGACTGACGAATTAATTAGTGCCTCGGCCGTTATACGTTAACTATTGCACTGATTCTGTCAAAACCTCGTCCAGGGTTTTAGAAACTTAAGGAATAACAATGGAAAATGTGATTTCTGCTAGGCAGTTATTGATCAAATTTGAGTACGGTTGTTGAACCTCTTACAAAGTGTTTTTCAACGCCAGAATTCAATCAAAAATGGTTCAATAGAGGCGGTATTATTAGAAGGAAATTCAGCCTCTATCGGATTTACTCACTGGGCTATTGGACCCATTCGTGCGATTAACCATGCTAAAATTCACGCCTGATTATGGTGACCGATGCTTGGATCAGTTTTGTTGTGATTTGTTTCCTTACCCGGCTGACCGATGTCAGTTACCGCCGGGTTTGATGAATCCTACCTCGAGCCTTTTCTATCAAAGGGCTAATACACGCCGTTCCTTGGTGTGCGTCGGGAGGTGGGTTGGGGGACGAATAGTCTAACTCGATCCCGCCGAAACTTTCGACCTCACTGAATAGCTCACTCAAGCAAACATTGTTGTACCTTAGTCTACGGAGAAATCAGTTCATTCCAAGTCGAAGGGGTTTTGGTAGACCCGATCCAACGGGCGACGTATGACGGCCAAAGCAACAATCACTATACGGAGTCCCCAGTAGAATACCATTGGGTGAATTCACCTGAGGTTGCAACGGATTTACCTGAACTGGATAGGAAATAGTGTGTTTGAGTTCATTTAGTTGATTGCACATGGATAGATCATCCGATAAATGAAAAGGAACCAAACTTTACTGCAATAAAAGAAACTGCAGGAACAGAAACTTTGCAATTCTGAAATAGTTTTAATTCGATGTTCGGGAATTTATGAAATTACCCGTGCAAATAATACCAAATTTCCGATAACTTTATGTTGTACTGAAGTGAGTTCTCGTTTGAAAATGAGACAGAGGCACTATTCATAATTCTGCCTCCTTGTGATTATCAGGTGGAAAAATCCCGACATCTGGTGCTATTACGAGATATTCTTAACCGAGACGGACGCACAAAGTCTCGGGCTGAACTGGATGAAACGGTCAAGGCTGCACGGAAGGCCACACGTCGAAAGCAAACAGTGAAAGTTTTCACACGTCGAACGGATACACTGAAAGCACTTGACTATCCTGAACAGACCGAAAACACAGTTACACAAATGAGCAAGCCGTAAGTTTACGACGCCAAATGTATGCATTGAAGTTTGCCGGCGGATTGCCTTATCAAGTCCAACTGATAAACAAACGCCCTCCTGGGGCTTCATTTATTAGCGATATACAGCGCCATTTTATAAGCCACACGGTAGAACGAGTATGTAAAGTAGAGATAAAAGTATTTGTTTTGTGTACGCGTATGTACGCATGTGATTTTAAGGGATTCTGCAAATTTCTTCTGTATTGCAGGTTAAATCAATGCGTAAACCGTTTGAAAGCGGTTCGTGATACATGTTACGTCACTACAGTTTATGACTGAACAAGCTAAATCCAAGGCACTAGTTAACTGTTTTGGAACAAACAGGGGAATGTGGAGTGGGTGGTTGATGGACGGAATCGCAGTCGCTTCTGCCGGTGACGGCTAGACCTTACTCCATTGGTTGCGTAGGTGGGTAGGAACGATTCACCCTCGTTAACGCAATGTTCGTTTGGGCCCAGTGAGCGGTAATTGCTATCCCTTCCCGGCCCCGCTTCTTTTCCATCCAAACGTAAGCCAGTTGAGGTTGTTGTTTTCGGCCAGGACCTCGGCTGTTCGATATACGTGTTCCACAGAAACAAAAAGGTTGTTAAATGCAGAAATAAATAATTTCCACTGACAACCTTTCTTTGGTCTTCAAGGGAAAACATGATTTGAGAATGTGAGTTATTCGTGTACTAGGAGTATAACATGTTTCTGACACAGATCTGAGGTCTCCCTTAATATCATTTTTTAGTGTCCACATTGAAGGGGATTTGTAAATAGAGTAGTTTGTCCTCCACTGTAAACTCTAGTTGTACATTCATGATGGCCTTCATTCATCATTGAATCAAACAAACGGAATATCCATTTGCAGTTATTCTTTACTATTGATAGTGTTTCTTTGTATGATCTCATCAACAACGTGAAACTACTGACCCAACTGGAGGTCGAATCCGGGACCTCGCTGGTAGAAGACAAGTATACTACCCATTCGGTCACCGAGCAGCTGGTCAGACCTTTTACACTTGGTTTATAAACGATAAACCCATTTTTGCAAACTTGTTTCGGGCATCACACCTCGCGCATCTCAGTATTATTCCCCAGCGTTATTGTTCGGTCGGAAACAGTTCGAACCTGACTGTTTGATACACTACATTAAAAATATTTGACTGTTTGAATGATAATACCTTAGCCAAAAAGTGTAAAGCTGAGAAATCCATTACCGCATGAATAATGCTGCTCTCGACGAGATGTGCTTTGGTTCAGGTGTCCAACACTGCCGGTGCGTTCAACGCCATGTTTGTTAAAGCAGGTTAAGATAAATTTTTCATACGTTTTGCGGAAAACCACCTAGGTTACAATTTAGTGTCACCCGATGAAACTGGGTCAAAATGCGAAATAACATCACCACGGCGCTGACCCTTGAAGCTTTGATCTGAAGGCTGGCTACCTAACTATAGAGCCCAATGAACAGAACAAGAAACTCCCGGTTCGTAGCTAATTTTAAGCCAAACTACAGAGGTTTCTCCTACCATCCAACCGGACTTACTCGCTATAAACTCCTGAAAGTTCCAGAGACCAAGTTTGGCTTAGGTGTCTCAAAAGAAACTGAGAAACAATAGCCCACCAACAGGTTTTTTCGCTACAGCCTAAGAGAGCAGAAACCCCAAAACTGATTAGACAAGCTATAAAAGTAACATTTTCTTTGTGCATGTGCTTGCAGATCTACGGTGGAAAGGAGGTGATGGGCTGTCCTAAACACAATGACATAAAGTGATTAAGTCATGTCCGTAACCGGAGCACATCGCGAACACAAACGCATTGATGTGTTCATGTCCTTTGTATGGCTATAGCTATAGAAGTTTTCAAAACACACCATATCGCAAGACTTCACAATTTATAATTTCGCTGCATCTCAACATGATGCCTTCTGCAGAAAACACAATGTTTATTTAGGGCTTTAGCTTGAAAACACAGAGAAGTAAAATACATTAAAACAGACAACATAAAAAATGGAAAGGGGTAAAAGGACCGCGACACCAAGGTAAAGACAAACTAAAAAAATTCTCTTTAATGACACAAGAGGGCGTCCACGGGTTGATAGCAATCACTTATGCAAATCTTAGAATCTTGCGATTCGTGACTAATAAATAGTCCGAAACGCCATGCTTCGGTTGATCTGATGTTGCATCGTCAGAAGTTGTCGAGCTATGGCTGATGACGGAGTCTTGTAGTTTCGATCGTCGTTTCTATGCAACGGACTTCGAGTGCGTCATCTGACTTTGGATCCAATTTGGAATATGTTTAACCACCCAGTCATGTAATTGTCGTTCTTTTTCGTTCTGTTCTATTCACGTAGATCGGTCCGTACCCATATCGCAAAGAGAAATTCGACCGGTTAATTGGCTTCGATGATGATTGACACATGCATCCCAATATCTTTCAGCGGAAAAGAATCCTGAATGCTGGGTCAGAGTTTATGTGGTGGCTATCATGCCAAGATGGGCCAAGATGATTGACCGTTATACAATCCGATGAAAGCTCCAGTGAGTGGCCCAAACACATAATTGGCATAAAACGCCATACGAATAAAGCCGACTAAACGGATTGGCATGCATAAGGCTCATATCGTCAAGTTATATTGAATTCATTAAGTAATTCCAACGTGACATGTAAAGAGCAACACGGGTAGAGAAGGTGCCCGTTTTTGATAGATTCTTCATCTGGCTAATATAGCCAGAAGAATGGAGTAAACAGATATGTAAAATAAATAATATCAGAATTGAGGTGAGTTAATTGGATGATTTATATATGTTGTACAGAGCAAGAGAGGGAGTCGATCAGGAACAGAAAACAAGGAATCGTGAAGAGAGAGGAATCAGGATGGGTGAGGTGGCATACTCGCTATTTCAATCAAAAGGTCATGGGGTGGGTCATGAGTGATTCGGGGTTCTGTTTTTTTGGTCTCGGCAAGAGTAGCTGAAAGGCTGTTTTTGTAAACATAATTGGTCGTAAGAGGCTCATTGTTATCGTCTCTGTTATTGACTTTGTCAGAGTGATGAGAAGAGTTTGGATGCACCTCATCCTAATTCATTCCAACATGAAGCTAGTAATAAAAGATTCTTCGGACAAAAACAACAACTTTGCCAACAGCTTTTGCTCAGTACGAGGTGTGTTGTGGAATAATCAGAAAATAGTTGCGTGGTGATTGCACTACAGCACCTTTGGAAAGAATCACGGAGATACAGCAGCTATACCTTGAACAACAAGGAAGGATGCACACGTCATACTTTAAAAAAAAGTGGCATTTTGATGAAAAACTGCCAAGAAAAGATGGTTCAATCGTTTTAAGGAAAGCGGGAGCGCTTTATGATAACCAACAAAGAGGACTGGAAAGCTTTTTTGTCCTGTTTCGGACTTATCAGCAGTGCGTAATTTTTGTGTCCCTGTCAGGACTCGAACCGCGAGCGTTCGGGTTGGGACTTGAAACCCTTATTCCTGAGCTACATGATCGACGATCATCACCTTGTGCGAATAGCTCAATCAGTTTTAGAATAGCAAGCTTGGGTTAACCCATTCGTTTGTTGGGAGATTATCAGGCACTCTTGATATTCTTGGGTGTGGGTTTCACTCCTTGGGCGATTGTTAATTCCCCACAGTTTCATGCCTTTACATACAATAGCAATATCAAGAAGTACAAGAGTGCTTGGTGTCTCTTAACAAATGAATGGGCTAACCTAAGCTTGATACTGTAAAAGCGGGAGCCGCTTTATTAAACATCCGTTAGGTGGAATGCACCCTGTATGTATGTATGTATGTATGTATGTATGGATGGATGTATGTATGTATGGATGGATGGATGGATGAATGAATGCATGTATGCATGCATGTGTGTATGCCTATGTGTATAGGTGCATGTATACATATACGTAATTTCGTTTGCATATGGAAGAGTAGGTTCAAGAAATTCGGTCAGTTACCCATCTGCTTGTCTGACACGCAAAAAGTCGGTTAATCTAACTTGTTTCCTCTATAGTATGTACTGAGTGATCATTTTCGCAACGTCGCGTACATATTGGACCAAAGTAAATGTGTGTGAGAAAATAACCGGTAACACCTGTTCATAAAAGACGTGAACGGCCAGCAGTTGCGCGTACCGATGGAAATGTTTTCCTGATCAAATTCAATAAACAAATCTATGTGCTAATTGGAAAACATCATCTGTTTGATAAATAATCTGTTCGCAATATTCTGATTGAAAAATGTATTTTACCAATCTTCAAATACCTGGTAATACTATTTTTAAACCGATCATAAGTTCGAAACGAGTATCCTTTTTGTTTTCACAACCGAGACAAATTGGTTTTATTTCATTCAGTCTGGGTATTGACTTGATGGGAAAATTGTGTTGTAAAGATCTCACAGAATTAAACGAAGATGGACACGCAACACATTGTCGTTCTTATTAGACCACATCAGAATGACAAAGAATGTTTCTGAAGGCGAAATATATTTTCGTTGAAATATTTTACCGGCTGTCCGAATGACGAGACATCCTTCATCTGAGACAGACAGCGAAAAGCACAAACCGTAAATAATAGTGTGTGTGTGTGTGTGTGTGTGAAGGCTCACACGTATGATAATGATCAATGTCTATTCATTCGAGCATGCAAGACGAAACGACTCTGCTTTTCAGCAAACTGCAGAGCTCTCCAGTTGTGATTGCCCACGTGGACTACAGTTTCCTTATTTCACACGTCATGATGTTGACTCTTGTTTTTGGGTCTGAATATCAGTTTGCATCAGCACTGTCGATCTTTCCAGTCTGTTTGGCGAGACCACAAATCTCCCATAACTCTCCGTGTCATCATCTGCATCAATACCTCCGCCTTGTACTACCTCACCACCACTTTCCGGTTCCGCAATTATCTGTAAACTGACTTCGACTGTGTGTGCTAGTCATCGATCCTGTGTATTACTTGGTATTACAGTCTGCACTCAAACATTCAGTTTATACGCGAATGGCACTTGGATAGGCATTTAATCACAAATGAAATAAAATTGCAATCTTACATGTAATGAAACAATCAGACTACCAAATTTTCAATTACTTCTGATGCAAGAACCTCGGATAACGTACATTTAGAAACAGTCAAAAGCTTTTTTATTTCAAACGATGGTACCATTTGAAATCTGTTGGGACCTGTTACTAGAACTCCAGTATTAAAACAATCTTTATGACAAGCAAATGAGTTATGATAAACAGAATATGGGTTATTTTCATTTATTCCCCCACTGAACCATTGTCAAGGTCGACAGAGACCGATACACAATCCGACAGTGGCATCACCGGGTCGGTTACAACTGTAGCTACCAGTACAGATGGACCGGGCGCAAAAGAGTCCGGAAGAAAAGCGAAAGAGCCCTTTATCACAACTGAAAGCAGAAAATTGTTAGATACACAATTTGACATGACGGAACAGGATGATCCAATGTCTCGAAGCCTGTTCGAGATGGACGAACAGGCCTTGGCCCAACTGACTGCCAGTTCAATGTCCATGAAAGAATACCGTGACCGGATGATGATTTCCCGTTGTCTTGATGTACTGATGTCAAGTTTGCCCATGCAGCACAGTTTAACTTCTGGCGTGGTAAGTTGTGAAAAAGTCGTTTGCTCATGTATGGGCTGTAAATTGTCTCTTGGTTTGCTGTCCTGTTTTGGATATGGACGATTTGTAATCAAGACCTAGCAGCAAACATTCATTACGCTGTCAGACTATATTCCTGAGTTCACTGCAAATTGAATAGAAGTGACTGCGTTGACTAAATGTATATGAGTTATGCGGTAAACTGACCAATCGCTCCTCTTGACTGCTTGATGTGTAAATGATGCCTGAAGCGGAAACGACCGTACCAGCCTGCTATACTCGAAAATGTGTGCAGACATAAGCCACCGTGCGTTAGAGATTGAGTTCGGCACAATGAATGAGGCTTCTCTTGATATCGTAATCGAAATTTCTAAAAGAGAATGTGTAGAAATCATGGTTACGATAATGTCATAAACATTTTGCAGATACATGGTTTCTTTAACCTACCGAATTCTCACCTCTTTCCTACCCGGAAATGAAAGTGAACCGGTCATCAAAAGTGATGTCCATGCGTAAAAGCTACTGGGACCTAAGCGACACTGAATTGAGCGTTTGCCACTGTTTATCTGACTCTGTACCCCGACACATAAGGTCCGACCGAAAAGCCTTTTGAAGATCATTTGATATATTTCAATTTGACTGGTATTTAAAATGAACCTGCGTGATAAATCAGTGAATTGACAACTACAGCAACACTGTTTTTCCGCATAATTTCGTTACTGAAAGATAGGGTCAGAGTCAAAGAGAACATTAACAGGGAAATACTCGAAAGTACAACACAGTGCGCAATATGGTAATTTCATTGAAGGATTTCTCCAAAAAGGATGTGACTAAATTGAGAGAAAACTTCATTTCTGGCTGTTATCTGACATTTCATTATTTTAATACTGTTTTCTGAAATTATGAGGTGATCAGTTAGATTTGTGTGTATCTCGGACTGCTTGTTCCTCTTGAGTATCGAGGCTGGTATGTAATGCCACCATGATCCAATAACGCAGAACAAAGAGGATCAGTGTGTAATCGTTGCTGTGTTTTTCTCGGTGACATGAAGCGGAAGTTTACAACCAATGAGAGAAGTAATCCGCTAACATGTACAGAGTAACACGGCTGTATCAAAGAAGCTGTTCAAAGAGCAGTTCATTGCCACCTAATCACCGAAAACATAACGATCATGATAATATCATATTAATAAATAAAATCACGGCTAACGAAAAAGCCTGATTTGGGTTTTGAGTCAGTTGGGCGTTCATCAGAATGTAAGGGAAAGGAGAAACAACATTTTAGAGTTTCTTTTTACCGCTCATCACGACGGTCACGTGAAGGAAGGATGGAATAACAAAAATCTGGCCAGCATTGACAATTTGAAACCCAAAAGGGGAAATCTGCACCCTACTGCGATACAAAACTGCTCCGAGGACGCGATTTATTTGGACATCCGTAAATTGTATTTTATTCTGGCGCAGTTCTCAAAACACGTTTACATTTTCTGATTTGTGTTGGTCCACTGTTACTGCCCCACGGACGGGCAAATGAGAAATGTTTAATGTTCTTCCAAGCATGTGGTACCAGTAGATGATGATGCAAAAAACTGATTTCGACTAGGATGACACAATTTCGATGGTTGATACGCTTGGGTTTTCGTGCATGTATTACGTAATCCGATCACAAGTGGGTGACCAAGGTGCATCAAATTTTCTAAGTGACACACACAGGTCTTATTACGTTTTTTATCCTCGTTTGTTAATAATAAAACGTTCCACTATTTTGTTCACATAAAAAGAAGTGTGGAACGAAATGGGTTTTTACGTGGAAAATGGGTGACCAAAAGGTTGTGAAAAACTGCACAGTGTCCGTAATCCCTTCAAGTGGCAACAGTGGAATGCTTGTTGGGAACCAAAAGCGAGGTGTCACAGATGGAACACTCTCATATCACCCACTTTTCAACCGAGCAGCTGACGATTTCTCTCCACCCATAAAAGTTATGGTGGAACATTTATTGGTCAGGGAACTTTATGCAACTAACCTCACCAATCGCACCACCAGCCTCCAGGGATCACATGACTCGAGCTAACAAAAGCTGAACCTGGCTTTCAACCACCGTTATGATATGGAGGAATTAATATAGGCAGTGATGCGTGGAATCAGCTGCTCGTTGCACATGATTGGTGAAAACCGATTCCCCAAAAATAAATCTCACTAAATAGCAATCAGTAACCGTTAATTTCCAGAAAGTGAATGATACTCCATCAAGGTTAGGCAAAAGGAACTCACTATACAAGTAGCACACTACTAACATAAACCTTACCGTGACTGTGTGATTTCTATTCAAGAGGGGGATTGCAGACCATCGACGGCTGCCAATACATATATAATGACGCTTATTTGAATACTTGCATATTCAGGGGCTGAAAATCTGAGGCAACAAAACGATGATATATATGCTGCTCGAAAATCGCCCCCAGATGAGCGAATATCGACCGAAATACCGGATATCTTCATGGAAGTTTAGTTTCCAGTTGTCGCATAAAACTTCCTTGCATTGCAAAGTGAATACCAATCACAGTACGTGTGATGTGGGTTCAAACGCACCGTTTCTTACAAATAGCCCTCCCCGACCGATAGTTGTAGGTATATATACAGGTATTGACCAAACTCGTGCAACATCCTGATTTTCATTACATTTGTTCCTCTCAATGCTTTATTCTTCCAGCCTCATTCACGGGATTAAATATGATATTGACCCGCATCAGATGCAACATATCTGATATAATATCCACTTGCGTCTCTGCTTCTATTATATATATATATATATACATAAAGTGCTGCTCAAGTTATCAGTAGCAGAAATTGTAGATATGCATTCTCGGGAATTACAATTTGGTGCTATTGGGAAATAATTCGTATTTTGTCATTGAGATCACGTGATTTGTACTCGGTGATTCGCAAGGAACTATTTGTGATAAATGAACCCATTCAACTGGAATGTAAAGCTATGACGATATGGAATGGAATTCGATGCATCACATGATTATTATAATTATACGTTTGAAGTGCTAAAAGCGGAAAAAAATCCAAAAATTATGCTGTCTGCTGGAACTACAGAAATCGAACTGTTATACAAAATAAGTGGGAACAAATACTGTAACAGAAAAGCTGACAGTGGTCTCGAGGAACATTTCGGCTCCAAAATAATAAATCAATCCAGTGCTAAATGCCAAGAATGATCGCAATCTGTGCACCGATTTGTGGTTAGGAAAGCAATTTATGATGAGAAACAAAGCACAACCGCACACCCAAATAACCTGAGATTCTGCTTGGTCCTTTCTTAGTTCCGATTGTGGTCCTTTCAAATAAGTTGCGTGATGATCTGTTAACCGAAGCAGAAACGGACGGAAAATGTGGGACAAAAACTGTGCTGTGAAACTTATTCAGTTCACTATTGGAAATGGAGTTGGCACACGAGGTAGCCGTTTCTAACTTTCGGTAACACGAACATACATAGAGGAGGTGAAAAGAAATTGATGGAGTGCAAAAATCTGGGAAGCTTATGAATGTTTAGTCCAAGAATAAAACCGTTCTTGTCTTATCGCATAAACACTATACCTTCCCCCTCCTGTTCACCGTTCGGGAACAAACACGATCTGGGTAACTGGAATATTTTCTGAATCGTTTGCTAACAGATAAGGCTACGAGATATCCGCAAAAATTGCTTATCTCTGAGCCTACCACGTATCACGTTAAAAATAAAAGGCTGACCGTTTTACTTATTGCTATCTGGCACGAGAATCTCGCTTTGTTCCTGAAGTTCGGTATCCACACCATGAATGAATGCATTAGTGATACTGAGATGCAGTGCTGTGCTCTTTCTACAATATCACAAAGTGGGTAATGGAAAATCTCAAAGTCAAAGTATGTTTCTCACCCCATCCCCTTCTTTTTTACGATTAAACAATCGTGATCATGTTAGTTGTATTACGATAATAAACAACCAGCCTCTTACATAAATGTTGACGTGCACCATTGATGTGCAAGACGCAATACGGAAAAACGAAAGTGCAAACAGTGCATCGTAACAATCTGATCCGCCTCGTTCTTTGTTGTTGTTGTTGTTAGCGTTCGGCAAAATCAGATAAAGCTGAACGGCGGAGAGAGGGCGGAGAAGACTGACTTTCTAGTGATCATCACAACCATGATCATTGTACTGATTTAGAAAGGAGCCGTGAGACCAAATGTCCAAGGATATAGAACCAGGCTAATCTGGTTATCCCTCTAGTATTTGACACAATAAGTCACTCTGGTTCAGCGCTCAACGCGAAATCTTTATTCCACTGTCAATGGTCATTTATGCTCTCCTTATTAATCATTTGCAGGTAGCAAAAGTAAAACTGAATTAAATCTGGAAGAAAGTTCGTTGATTTGGTATCGTCATTATTTTAAGGGAAGTATGCACATAAGGTCTAATGGAAAGTTCTGTCAGCTTCTATCACAACAACCTTCGACACGTAAGGCGATGTTTATTTGGTGCACGTGTGCTTCTCTATTTTTATCACTTAATGTATACATACTGACGCAGCAAATTACCTAAAAAATAATTTGATTCACGTTAGTTTTATTTGTAAAGCGATAGTGTACCTGTTGTATGTGTAATTTGCCCAATCACGTGATATTCTTCTAACACCTGCCTCCCGACTCGTCACATGCACATCCCTGCTTGTTTAGAAAAAAGTCGAGCCCTTCTTGAACCAGATGATAACTGGGGATGAAAAGTGAATTACCCACGAAAACATCTTAAAGAAAAGGGCATATTGTGAACTCGGAAATACTAGCCCTTCCACCTCTAAACCAAATTTAACTCTGAATAATAAAATGTTGCGTATATGGGGGGAAATTCGAGGACCAGGGGATTATGAGCTTTTGCAACCAAACGAAAAGCTCAATTCGGAGAAGTATTGTCAGTAAGTGGATAATTTAAAGACACAAGTCCAAGAAAAGAGACCAGTGGTATTCAATAGGAAGAATACCACACTGAATCATGATAATGGCAGGCCACCTGCCGCTTTGAGGACTCGTCGAATAACTGCAGAACTAGACTAGGACATGCAATGGCATCCAACATATTCCCCGGACTTGGCACCCTCCGACTATTACTTGCGGTTGTCTTTACACACTTTTTGAAGGTCAAAAAAATGCAAGAACGAAGAAGATATCAAATTCAATTTTCCCGTCAAAAGATGGCATATGAAAATTGTCCCACGCCGGCAAGAAGTCATCAGTGATAATGGAAACCGTATTATTTAATAAAGTGTATTGACGATCAGAAAAAGTTGTCTTTTTTATTCAAAAAACGGACAGAACTTTCCGATAGACTTGATTTAGACATCATATATTTATATTCACTCGTAATCAATGATTAAATAAATCGTCAAGGAAACTTCACATGTTATGTCTCATACATTTTGGGCATGTTGAATTACGTTCGATAGTGCTGCTTATTGAAGCTAGCTTTCGAGCAGCCAGCTGACCGCTGGTTCTGATAAGTGGCGGATTTTCGAGGTCTCATAGTTGTTCATAACAAAATTGAACGACTTATGCAGTTTCAGAGTCTTTGACCTTCATTGCGGATTTGGATTGTAAGTGAGAGCAGTGTTATCTGGGTTGAAAATGTCGCAAGAACAGAACACTTATCTGCACCCTGCGGTTTAGTATTTGTACCCTACTTGTGATGCTCTCAGGTTATCTACAACTACTACCCAGCCAACCAGCATGTCACCCGTAGCGTTTTAAATATTTTCGAGAACGCCGAAACTACATAAACAGGCACATCGAACTGGATCCAGTGTACACGCCCAATGCAACTCAAGGACCAAATGACGCAACATGACCTGAGGACGGATGGAAAGCGCAGTCAGGAAGAAAGGGCAACCTCCTCACCTCCCATCCCCACCCCCTCGCATCAGTTCAACGGCGAACCGAGTCGAATAGAGTGAGAACATGGGACAAAATTAGTCGGTGCATAAGAGCAAATATATAAATGAACGAGTACGAGCAGAACACTGACACTTCACATCACATCGGCTGGTGATGAAACGTTTGCAAACAAATTGTCAAACTCGGCGAACAGGCGAAATGGAATTCAGTTCACCCGAGCTGCGAGAACCAATTTTCAGTATTTTGTCAACGCTAAAACCATCCATCAGAAGTCAATCTGTTACAGTTCAGTTGAATGGTGAATAATCAGTTCAGCTTGTTTCATAAGAACAGAGATAATCTTCCTATTCCGTTTGCAACCAGACTAGAAGAAATTATTGTAGAGCTAGCACAGCCAAAAGTGATATTGTGTGTGTATGTGTGTGCAAAATATCCAACTGCTAGCCTCATATTAAAACATGATTATGTTCGTGAAGTAGATTGTGGTAAGTACGCGGCCAAGCCATAAAGTCATCATAATTGATACGTGGCTTGCAGGTTCTGTTGACTGTTGTGTTCCAATCGTGAATTTAGCCAAACGCACGTATTACAGGGTGCCATAGTTCCGAAGTGAAATCGGTGGTTCCCGTGATGCTAATTTCGTCACTGTAAGAAACACGCGCCGTGTCGAACACGCCCGTTTGCGGTGATTCATCCACAGGTCAATACATGGCAATGAATTTCAACTTGTCTAGTAAAGAAAAATATTACAGATTGAGGAAAATCCCCCTTTCATCCCCGCACTAATGCATATGTGTGAAAAGAGGATATTAAGTCAGGCAGCGTTTCATTTGCCTCGGCCACCTTCAGAAAAAATTGACCAGTCAGTTTTATTTTCGATAAACAAAAATGAAGGAAACAGAATGAATTACCGCTTTATCGCATATTCAAATGATCCCATTCATCAAAGACAAGCATACTTCGTTTACGCGTCTTATTATCAAGATATGAGTTGAACAATAGAATTTTGTTTAACATATCTGTTTGCCTCCAACTCTTCTGGTGTTTAGTTTGACCACGAGAGGCCCGAACATCAATGCAGGTATGTGTTTCGACAGCCAAAATCATCCATGAGTCGTGAATTTGCTCAAATTTGGAAAGGTAAAGGGCCGGCTCACAATAAAAGCGTGTTTGTCAAAACGGTATTTTGTGGATTTGGTCTATCAATGTGAGCCATTTGTACCACACGAATAGACATTATCGAATGGAGTATCAATATTTTGGACATGTGATTTGCTCCTAATATCTCTTTCTCTAACTCTCCGACAGTGTGCAGTGTTGACCGTATATGCGTTCCCCAAACAACGTTCGTGCATTATTTATTGTTCGCTATGTTATCCAAGCAAATCCAATTAGGCAACGCGTAGGTGGATGATGTCAATAGTTAAATACATGGGTGGTATTTTTCAAATCGAGTTGAATAGCGGACTTCAAACGACGTTCGTTTCTCCGTCACGATTTGATCTGACGGTGGAATGTAGGCTGGATTGTAGATGGCACCTGATTCGGAACAACCGAACACTGATCAGCCAGGGAACGAGCGAGGTCGTCTACCGCTATTTCGTGATTCTTCTACCCTGTGATGATGACATAATAAACGAAAGAACCAATTGTTTGAACAAGGGCATGATTTTGCTGGCATTACAATATATTGAGAATGCTTCCATTTGAGTACATCACAATTCGTATAGTTTGATAGTATAGTTAGATTCCCACACCCGAGAAATATTATCGGAACCCTTCAGAAACTTGATTTCTGGATTCAATCTACAGTCGGTTTTGATTGAACAAACACCGTCTCTGGTATAAGCGAACCGATTCTATTCACTAATTATTTTCCGGAGTGCATCGCTCTTATTCAAGAAATACGTGGAAGTAGAAACATGAGGT